AGATGTTATATCTTTCATTATAAACTGGTGTCTCCTCCTTCTCAACTTTATTTCCACTTTCAAAGAAGGCTGATCATGCCGTCATTCATGTCTCCTATATACTGCATGATATCTTAGCGTGTTAAGGTAGGCTACTGGTCCAAATTCTAAAATCTTTGTTTGTGGTGCTACACTGCTAAAATTTGGGTTCCTAGAGTAACTTTTCGCCCCTTTTACAAAACTGCAATAAAATTCTAAAAATAACTTGTAGTTGCTATGGTAATCGGTAAAGAATAGGGAAAAACGTGCCTCGCTTAGTGCAAGCTATTCTTAGTTGTAGTTAAACATACAACCCAAAATGATACATCAAAGAGTTGCTTTGACCCTGAGGAGTGCACAAAAGGTCTTTGAATTTGAATTTTTTTATTTTGTACTTTTTTGTTACACATTTTACAAAGTTTTGAGTTTTTCGGCTTTACATCTCCTCTTTCCAAGTCCAATGGTAAGACAACTGGTCCTGTAATGAAAAAATGGAGGCCTTTTGTGCACTCTCTGAAGTATAAGGTTTCTTCTGGTATATAGACATGTTTTCTTATATTCAGAGGGTAAAATTTTTCCTTGCACTAAACTCTACCAGTTTTCCGAAATCATTATTCTTAGAAAATGCTGATTAAAGTTTCAAGACAAATGTATCAAGAGGCAGCAAACTAGAATTGGTATTTTTTCAACTTTCTTCAATAGAAATGTCACTTTACTTGAAATTCAATAAGAAATAACATATAACATGTTATAAATAACTACTTTTAACCATATAATTCAATATCCTTATGCATTATATTTGCCGGAAGCATATTGTTCGCCTTCTTGCACTGTTCTTTTCTGCTCTGTTGTCTTTTTTTTATACTTCAGAACCCTCCTTCTCTTCTTTGTTTCTGTTCTGACAGCTAATTCTGCTTTTTTGATTCTTTCCTGGTCTTTCTTTGCTGCTGACAGCTCTAAAGTTGACCCTGGAGTGAGATTTAGTGCTTGGCAGAGAACAACTTTGAATGTCGCACCCATTGTGAATTGACAAATTGCCAACATGACTGCAGTTTCTAATGTTTTTCTTCCTACAAAGGTTGTTTTTGGGCAAAGTCTCCAAATGATGTTGTGCAGTGACTCATTTGGGTTCTGTGTTTTGTTCCTTACACACCGTTTCAAAAGACTGTCGTCTGATAATCGCTGAAAGATTGGAACCAGTTTCTTGCCAACTTCTGTGGGTAATGTCTCATGTTCACTATGCTTACCTGGTGTCTCTTCTTTAGCCAAAGCTCTTTGCCAGAAACACCAGGAGCTTGATCCAGGAGGGCAATGGGCATGTTTAGGTAAATCATCTGTTGATGAAAGATGCAGCAGAATGGCCATGATGCGCTTTTTTAGGAGTGGAATATCCCCAGCATGATTTTTTATGGCCCGCCCATAATAATTTTGGATCTTCAGCATCTTTTCTTGAGTCAGTTTACCTTTTCCAGAAACAGGCTGTTTTTGTGCTTTTGACTCAGCCACCAGATTTCTCAAGGCAGATCCCATTCTCTTTGATACATGATTAATGCAATCTTCTTTTTCTATTTTGACATCTGGGCCATATGGAGCTAGTTCTCTAACAGCAGAAAATGCCTTGCTGTCACCATCACAAAGCATAATGGTGTATCTGAATTTGTACTTTTGCAATGACCTTGACCACAGATTTTTTGCACAAGCCACTTCCATGGCACCAGCTGTTCCATCAAAGTTTTTGGGACAATTTTGTGAGTGCTTCTCTTTCCAATCGCCAGAAATTTCCTGGCCTTCTGAGGCCTTACACTTGAAGCAGAAATTGGAGAGCACTTCAAAATCTATGGGTAATCCAGTCAACAGTTCTATGACTGACCCTATGCCGTTATGTGAAGTAAATCCACGCTTCTGCCATGACCCATCAAATGATACACCAATATTTAGAACACTTTGGTGATCAGGATATACACCAACTTCACAGTATGCCTCTTCAATTGCTTTTCTAGTCTGCACAGAAATGTCTTGAAAAACTTTGCAACAAGCTTCTGACACCTTATTCTGTGCATTCACATGAGCATCTCGGCTAAGAGCATAGGGCATATTCATGGTGTTAGCCCATTTCTTCATGGCAGAATAGCCACATCCAATACCTCTGAAAGCAAGAGTTGCTCGTATATTAACATCAAAAGGTTTGTTGGGAGATTTGTCCCCTCCAACACGCTCACAAAGATAATTTGCTTTCACAGGTATTTCACAAGTAGGGCAAAATATTACTCCATTTGCTGAAAATCCACATCTATTATCATTTTCAACATCAAAAATTAGTCCAGAGTTTTTACATAAAGGGCACAGTAGCGAGCGTATCAACTCATTTACTGCAACCTTCTGTACGATTATGTAGCAGTCTTCTGGCTTCTCAACAGTGCAGTCGCCATTCTCTACCGAGGAATCAATGTTCATGTTAACTCCAAATACTTGGAGTTTCTTAGCACTGGAAGACATGTCTGCTCCCGATACCGACATAACTACAGCGCGAGCTCCTTCTTCGGTTAACTTTTTGACAATCCTCTTTTTTCGACCTCCAACGTAGCCTCTCTTTGTCCTAAACTTTGTCTTGGCCATAATTATTGCAAAAATTACAAGTTTTATTTCAAAATCAACCTTTCTTTGGCAACGCTAAACGAAATAAGCCGACAACAAGATGCAAGGTGCCACCATTTTGAAAAGCATGTGACACAGTTTAACCAATCAAAAGGACCTTTTCAATCCATGAGCCAATCACCTTTCGTAGATAAACTGACGTCATATAGAAACCAGCCTCTAGTTGCTAAAGTAGATAAGCAAACGAGGCTTTTATCATGCCACAGGTAGCTCAAACTTTCCAAACAATACTGGGAACGGAAGAAGCTTGAGTTGAGCTTCAAATTGGTGTATAGTTATCCTGTGTTCGAAGGGGGAGATGCTCTGAAAATGGCACTTCAAAAACAAAATTTTTAAAGAAAAAATCAGCTGATTCTAGCTAGTTTAACGGACCCGAACATCATTAAACATCAAATTACACGTATTCTGCCACGTTTCAGGCCAGAAAAGATCGCAGTTGTATTTTCTAGTAAATGAGGAATTGATATCAAGCAAAAACGAAAAATGTAAATTTTTATGGAATATTGCCATTTTTGGACCAGTAGCCTACCTTAAGAGACATTTGAACGGCTTTGATGCGTAAAGTAACAAAAAAAGTCAGTTTGCATCTAGTATAAAAGTTTCGATGAACAAAAAGCGTTCAAACATAGGAAAAAGGAATACACAAGCAATTCAGTTATTTACTTTATTTAAATGTTTCGCTGTTCCTATTGATACGCTTTGTTCTATGGCGTATGACTAGCAGAGCACTCACAAGAAAATAAGCAAAAATTTAAAATTAAAATTTCAAGGAAATATACAAAAACGTATTTTGGAAATTAAAAACTTCTAATAAAATAAAAAAATTCTTTATCATACCTCGAGTAGCCAACCTTGTTCAACATTGAGAAAGGGGATACCCAAGATATATTTTAGTCCTTTATAGCAATCCTATTCAAATGAACTAGGCTTTGTTCAAATTTTATATTAAGCTGCACAAGTTCTTATAAGAACACCTTAATCTTTGCTGACCCTTGGTATTCTTAAAATTTGGTGATTCCCAGCCTAAAATTATCTTTCAGTCATTATTGACACAACGTATAAATCTGGTAAGAATCGAGAAAGAAAGTTCAAATCTTTCCTACTGTCTTTCTTTATCTAAAAAAGGAATAAAAAACGCTAACACAATACAAGCTTGATGAGTGTATCTCAAACTTTTTGCACGAAATTCACACTTGTCTTGCTGCTCTGAAAACTCTTATTCTCGATTAATCCTTGAAGTTTACCAACTTCGACCGACACCATTCTTACAAAATTGATTCTTATAAGGCAGTGTATAGCTTCAAATTCATAAGCTACAAAATCGACAAGAAAATGACAAAAACCGCAGCAACACAAAATTGTGCCTTTAATAATCGAGTAAATATTGCTGGACTGAATGCATTTTGTCTGATAATTTCCTTGGACATGATACAAAATTATGTATTTTCTAGCATATGAGCAGCCCTGTTATGATAGAACTAGGAATATTTATAGTGAAATGCCCAATTTCTATCTAGCTTCAATTTTCTATTTAGAAGCGGGGCTACGCGGTTTTCAGATCATTCTGCGCTTTTCAGATCATTCTGCGCTTTGCAGATTATTCTGCGCTTTTCAGATTATTCTGCGTGTTACTTATATTGGTAGTGTCTTGTATATTCATTCTTCAAAGAAAAGGTCTTGCACTCTACAAAGTTTCTTTGTAAAACAAGTTAAAATTGTTTTGAGGGCATTTTATTGTGGCTTATTCATTGTGATATAGCAAAAAATGTTTAAATGTCACCTAAATCTATTGTAGATTCCCTCTTCCAATGGCACAATGGCCGACTAGGCAGAGATGCCCAGAAGTTCAATCGCAGATTTAAGAGAATAAAGACGAATGGGCCTGGAGGCCAGTGGCACAATGGCAGAAGCGGTCGAGAGATGAGGCGCTATGGCATAAACGAGAACCGTATTGATGAAATCGTGACCCTGCTTTTAGACGCCACATTCCGATACCCGAAATTTCTAAGAAGGTTGCGAAATTATAAATACAGGAGTTCGAGGGCCTGATATAAAGACAGGAATTACCACTTAAGTGTACAGTTATCATTTTGCAATCGTAGAAAGTGCATTGAATGCGACATTGATATGTTTAAAGAATAAAAATTAATAAAATTAGAAGATATTTTGAGTGCTGTTTGCATTTTAATGGCCTCTGCTTTACATTAATCAAAAAACTCTTATGACTTGTACAGCCTTGTCAAGTTCAGTAAACAACTCACAAATGTTTCCCTTAATCATAAACTCTCAAAACTAGCAATTTCGTTCGAAAGGCTTTGTACAGGGTACAGGGGTGTGTTCGAAGGTCCTTTGGCTTTCAAATTTTGCATCTTTTGAACATGACCAGTTAAAACCAACGAAGTTTTTTCACATCGCATAAGGAATTCGGATGTATGAACATTAGCGGCTCTTATTGGATGAAGAAAATTGAGTGAAAAGGGTGTCACGAGAAAAGCTAGAATGAAACTGTAGCTTACACGATGCAGCCATGATTTAAGATAGTTTTGATTAAATGCTGCAAAGTACCATGAGATGAAAATTTTGTCTGTAAGTCTTTGCAAATGATGCGATTTCTCGTAAAAATACGAATCTAGACACGTCTCTCCAACAAATTTTCAGTCATATTCAAAATGTCCCTTTGCAACCAAGTTAAGCGATAAAGACATGGGTCATCTGTGAAGGAGCGTTCACGATTACGATCCTAACTTGCCAGGGGAGAGTAGTGTAAAAATCGGACTAGAGTCGCAGAATTCGGGAATAGGGGTAAAAGGGTATCAAAAAATTGACACATATTTCTGTATAATACATATTAGCTAATATAGCAGGAAGCTAAAAACAATTAAAAGGTAAATTGCACATTCTAAAAACATTTATCGCATTGACAATTTCAAATTTGACCAGAAACTTTTATAGCTTTTATCGTTAGCTGCTTTGACAATTCAAAACTTTTATTTTGGTGCCTTTTGAAAATCTTTTTAGATAAATACCTGAGTACAATAAAAAGTGCATTTGTATTTGCAACAAGAGGGGTGTCACATACTTTACAATGGTTGACGTGGCTGGCTGTGGTCAAACATTACTAAATCTAATACTAAAAGTGGTTGATATCAACTGTAAACGCTTTTTAAAGGGAGAAAGCCTATTGACAGGAGCTTTTCTTGTGGAATGGGGTTGGTATCCGTCTCTGCCACGGTGACCTGTTGACATTTCAAACAATTAACGAAACCTCTCTCTTTCCACGAAAGTAAGAAAATAATTTTCTCTCTAGAAGCATATTACCTGTTAAACGCAGGTTCATTAAGTTTTACATCCGCGCAACATTCAATACACCATGCTAAAGATGCCATGCTTGGAAAAGACCTAGCCATGTTTCATCCATCCCTTTAAAACGACAACTAAGTTATTTAACAGAGGTTAACTCACCCAGCCGTCAATCTTTGTCAATTTGTTTTTGAAAACCTGAATCAGAACAAAACGCAGGCAGTGACTGTGAAAGATGTCAGCAAACTGTTTTTTGACATTTCTCATGCTGTACAATAACTTGATAAAAGAATAACAACCTTATAAAAATGTCTACTTTCTCTCAGAAATTTTATGTATGTAGCAACAATTCCAGAGAAGGTAACAATAGATAATGAATTCTGAAGCAAAATCTTTTGCAATGAAACATTTAGCTTGACTGTCGGATAAGAAAATATTTATAGCTAAAGATTCCTATAGTTGACTAACATCTGTGTCAGCAGTGCATCATATAGGTCATGGTGAAAGGAAAATAATGATTGCTAGGTTAGTTGTTACTGTGTTAAATAGTCAATCTTATGCATATCCTTAAAAGCAGTCTTTCAAAACATGTCATGAATGTAGATATCTTCTGGAACCAAATTGTATTTCCATCCTCGAAACAAACTCCCATTGTATCCAATACAGCCATGAGTCAATACAATCATACATGAAATTGCCATTTTGTCGGATCCAAGCAATATTTCCTTATCACTCCGTCTCTGCAAGCAGAGTATACATCTTCCCCATAGCAACAAAATCTATAAATAGGATCGTCGTCTGGTCCAGTAAGCTGCAATGTTTCCTTCACATTCTGCTCAAATGGATTGTAGATTTGCAAAGAACCGTCGCCTGAAAAGCAGAAAAGCCTTTGTTTGGTTTCTTAAAATTTTTGCTTTTATCATTCTTACTCAGATATTAACATATCTGAAGAAAATAGGCAGGCAGATTGTGAAAAAGTAACTTGATAAAAACAGCTAGAAGAATATTTTGAACTCTTTTCGAACTTTCTCTTACTTAAATTCTCCCTTTTTCGTCCATTTGCCCTTTTTATTCACTTCGTGCCCCTTTGTCTTCTATATGCCTTTCGTTTATTCCCTACTGGTCTATGTTATAGAGTATAATACTCTTTCTTTTCTTTTCTATATAATTCTAACATCATCATATTTCAGTCTTCCATTTCTTCTGTCTGTCTTCTTCATGTTGCTGGTTCATCTTCATTTACAATTCTTACCCATCCATTTCTTGCATTTACTCTTAATGTACCACATTCCAGGCAGCTGTCCATCTTTTCTTTACGTGCTCGCGCCTTCCTTTTGTCAACTGCCTTAACACTAAAATTCCCGTCCACTGTTTTTCGTCACGTTAAAAACTCCTAAAAATTCGTCAAAAACTAAATCGTGCGTGACCAGCTACACGACCAATGAAATTTTTTGGGAGACTCAGACTCGGTTCCCACTCTACGAGACGAGAATGCCAGTAACTACAACTGATACCCACTTATCAGATCTTGTGCAAACAAATGGAAAACGAGTTGAAATTTTCTGACGCTTGAAAAAATGGGCAAAAATTGTCTTTTATCGTTAGGGGGAAATGTATTGTAAACCGAAGTGGGAATGCTCAGACAAGACCATTTTGGATAGGTTAAGGATTGAGGATTCCAGAGAGGGATATAACTCATCTGATTAAATAAAAATATACTGACATGTGCTATTTTCACATTTAGTTTTTATGCAAAAATATTACAGTATAGCACACCCTTGCTCTGCAAGACAGTAAAGAAGTAAATCTGCACAACAACTAGGAAAATATAATTAATCTCCTTCAATGTTTTAGAGCAATCCAGCCAAGTTTAATGATTTCGATAAATTGCTGCGTTTATTGCTTTGCTGCATCAATACTATCAAAAACATGCCTGCCGAATATCAACAGAACCGAAGCAACCAAAGCAAGGCTTGAAACAGGTAGAAACACCCTTTGCTGAACGAATTATCGACCCTCTGTTCATAACGATACGGTGATACAATTTAACGAGAAACTAGGAAAATGGTAACATCGAAATAAAGACAAGATTTCAGCCACTTAAATTCAGTTCTAAAAAAATCCTGCAGCTTTTGCACACTCATGCCTCCCTTTCACTTACAAAAAGAGGAGAGAGGCTATAAGAAAAGGGATAGCTCAAACTAATCTTGGCACATCCCTGAACGGTTAAGGAAATATTATTGGCTTTGTCTTCTTCAAAATGTAATTAAAGCGGATAGATGAATAAAATTTCTGCAAAAAAAATATCGGTACGTAAAAAATGCAAACATACCTCGGGCTACAAAAATCTTATTGTTATGCACTTTTAAATGGTGAACTGAAGACTCTCCCATTGAATATGTTGAAGATGCCGATGCCCCATTTCTCAGGTCAAAACAAAATATTGTTCCATTTTCGCATCCGCCAATAATTTGGTGTTCGTTGACAAAATCACAGCAGTTAATTGCGGAGTGACAATTAGACCGGAAGATCTATCAAGAAGAACGTTGTAATATGAAAGCAAATTACATAAGAGAAATACAGCATACAATTAACTTGGCTTTTCATGGAGAGCTATAACACTTCTGTGTAAAAAAGCAAAACAAAATCTGTCTTGGGCTGGAAAGGGATCAGTAAAATTTCACCGAGAGACGGGTGTTAACGAGAACTGTCAAAGAGAATTTTTGAATCTCAGCATTTCTAGGAAAATAATTCAAAGGGAGAAATTTCAAGACCGATAGGAGTAAAATACGCTAGGTTGCAGGGGACGTTATGACATAGAACCCGGTCATTCAACTTTTCACCGGGGCAGTTTTCACCGCGACAGTTTTCACCGGGACAGCTTTCAAAGGGACAGTTTAAAAGGACAAAGCCAAAAAGCTCAACGCAGAAACAGAAAAAGTCGTAAACCAAAAACTTTCCTTACTCCGAAGAAAAAAAGGAGACAACTGAAAAGTTACTTAAAATCAAACATAAATTCCTGAAAGATAGTAACAATATAGCTCCTAAGCAGATAGATACTGGTATAAAAATGATGCAAAAAGAGAAGATTTATCTTTTGGGGGGTGAAAGGGGGAGGGGGTTGGTGGCTGATCATGAACAATGAGAACACGCCATACCTGTGTACCGCTATGAATGTCAATGGCTTCTAGTATCCCATCTTCCCTTGCGATCAGTAAAGCTCTGCCACCCAAACCATCTTCACCAGTACCTAAGAAGGGAAAGGCTTGTTTATTACTTTCGAATCAAGAAGAGACGGGGGGCTTGAATAAACGAGGAAACTATTCGATAAACCAGGAAACTACTTGAACATTTTCCATCTAAGATTAATAATCTTTCTTTAAAAATGCCATAGATACAAATACTGTAAAATATAATGTTTACCCTGCCTTATAAATCACTTATTACAACAAATAACATTCATTAGGAAACTCGTGTGTTCTCATTGGAAATACACTACAAATAGACCAACTAAGGATAAAATTGTCCAACTTCTAGATGTATCTTACCATGACTTCTCTCTAATTCAGTTTGAAACCAAAACGTATCTTATATGATGCTTCAAAAACACGGGACATAAAAGCATGTCTTGATACATGGCGGACCATAAAAATATTTGGGATATTCGCTTGACAAAAACTTCCCATGGCAAAATAAAAAATGTTCCGTGATTTGGTACATAAACCGTTGACATTTTTCTGGTAATAAAATATGATGATAAATGTGACAAGGGTAAAGGTAGAAGCTGCTGATTAATATCGAATGTACTATCCAGTTTTCTATAAAAAGGGTACCATAACAACAAGGGTCAACCACAGACGAAACAACAGAACTGCTAAGAGCAGAGAGGGGATTCCTGAAGTTTACATTTCAGTTTTTGAATCGTGTTTGTAAAACGGATTAAATTTTTATTTTTTATGTATTGTCAGAGGAGAATGGAAAGAAATAAAAACGGTACAAAACGGTCTAATGGATGCGTAGCCTAATAGTTGTCGAATTCCATAATGTTAATTAAGCTTAGATCTCACACGACATAAAGCACAAAGTATCATAAAACACAGAATCGTAATCAGAAACTAAAATAAGCAGGCAAAAGTTTTTAGATTGTACCTTCCATAGGGGTCTGGTCGTTAAAGATTCCTGGATTGCAAGCCTCAAGAGCACAAGAGTTAATAACGCACTGTGTATCGACTAGCGTTTGCTTGCATTTCCCTTCGCCACAGTCCCAAAGTTTTGCAGTTCCATCTCGGCTGCAAGCTGGAGAAACAAGAAACTGGACTATGAGTATTCAAACTGATGCAGTGGGATGTATAAGTAACAGCACAGCAACAGCAGCTAAATGTAAAACAGATGCATAATGTGTCAATATGGAATAATTGTTAATTCCTGCCATGCCCCATGTCCTGAATTTCCAGATGGATTGGCCATACAGTAGAGAGCGTTTAGTTATCAATCATCAGGGCGACGACATAAAGTGCCACTGGTGGAATGTTCAGGTCCTTGCCTTGTCGTATCACAGCTCAAATTTTCTCTAGAATATATTCTTCTGAAATATGTGGCGAAATGTGCTCCCCCTTTTGTGCGACCTCTGCATACTTGAAAAGTGCAATATATACTTCGAATAATTTAAATGATAAATACATAAAAACGCAAGTGTAAGAACATTTTGAATAAAATTTTCCCTTGTCATAGTAAATGCTAGAAAATCGAGCAGAAAATCGAAACAAGTTTTTTATATAGTCATTCATTCTTGCAGGAAAATGCCTGATAATTAATTCAAGAATTTTTGCAATATATCGCTTAAAAATTCACTTACATACAAAAGTCTTCCCTTTGTCAATAATAGCTGTATCAGTTATTGCTAGAAATAGAAAAATTAATTTGAAACTATAAAGAAAGTAATAAAAGATTAAAGAAATTGTAATTCGCAAGAGTTTAAAGAAATCTAATATACTTTACAATAAAAAATCGAACATATAGTTCTTATAAACTTTGCAATAAAAATTGGAATTATAACTGAATAGAGTATATTTGAATCATAATAAACTGACCTATAATATCGCACATATTAGAAGCCACCTGTTCTTTTCTCCAGTGGGTAAAATGCATTTTCAAGTAAAATAGCACTTTTTTTGCGTGAAAATGAGTGTCTTGTGACATTATTCTATGTCAGCGTAAAGTACTAATCAAGTTAAGTTAATAAAAAAACCTCCTCTGAGAGGCTACCTGCACTGTGTCCGACTAGAACCCTAGGGCAGGATCCATTCTCAACAGACCAGATCCTCAGTCTCATGTCAATGCCTCCACTCAAGGCTACAACCCCAGAGGGAAAGAACCTGCAGTGTGTCACATCGCTGATGTGTCCCTCTAGACATCGCTGAAAGAAGTGCAATAACAAAGGATGAATAACTTTGCTAGAGAAAGATACTGCAAATTAAGTTGTTTAATAACAATCTATAAAAGTAGCTATTACAATTGAGACATAAATAATCACTAATTATCAACATTTTGGTAGAAGTAAAATGATTTTTTTGCATCGATTAAGAAGCCAAACGATTGTCAATTCATAACCTTACAGCTAAATAACACAATTAGAACCATCTTTTATTTTTTGTTACAAATTGTTGTTGTCATAAACATAATTCTTTCGATGATGAGCACCATTAGACTTTTTTAGGGTTTTTGCACACAGACATGAATGACACACGACTTCTGTACTCTGTAATCCTGCTTTCAGTTCTGTTCAATGGGTAATCTTTAGCTTAGAGATGTGTGAATATCTCCTGATACTTCAAAAATTCTAACATTTTTGTCATAAGACTATTATCATACGATCTACTAAAAGATCATGTACATGTTAAAATACAGACAAAAAGATAGGTATCGATAAAAAATTGGCAAATATAATAGATAACAATTAAACATGTGTCATTTAATAATGTCTTCTGCAATGAATAACTTTCAAGCAACATTAAGATATTTCTAAAGAAAGTTTCTAAAATATACTAAAATATAATTGGCAGCAATTGGAAAACTTCTTAAAATATTTTAAGAAGAATGACATGTATTGTATCTCTGAAACTCATAGTTTACCCTAACTACTCCATCAGAAGTATTCCAGATATTCAAACTTCCATCATCACTTGAAGAAATCCCAAGAGCTCCACCAGGGGACACATCAACACACCTAACCTTAAAAAAAGAAATTTTGTCTAGCGTATTTTACTAAATACAGGAATAGCATTGTATATCTCAGTAATTATATTGCACTGTATTATATGGCACTATTTTAATTGTCTGGTACAGCCTTCTTTCTTATTACATAGCATATTGATATCAAGTTTTCACTGTTACTTTATTTTTACTCTCCTATTATATTTGTTAAAGTAGAAAAATGCCAGTGCTAAGGCCTATGAAGTTGGATTATTACTTGAAATATATATCTGTTTTTCTTGATTCAGTTTGAACAAAACAGTAATCTTTTGTTACAACATAAGTAAACAAGTGAATCAATTCAATAATTTGTCAATCAATTAATCAGCCAGTCAGTCAGTCAGTCAGTCAGTCAGTCAGTCAGTCAGTCAGTCAGTCAGTCAGTCAGTCAGTCAGTCAGTCAGTCAGTCAGTCAGTCAGTCAGTCAATCAGTCAGTCAGTCAGTCAATCAATCAATCAATCAATCAATCGATCGATCGATCGATCGATCGATCGATCGATCGCTCCATCAATCAACTAAAGACGGTCTTCCTAGGATTTACATTTCATCAAATATGAAGTCACCAGGATTCTGCATGTCCTAAACTTAACTATGAATAAAATAATACACAGTTTCTGAATTCATTTATAAGGATCCTTATACTGAAGGGTAGCAGGAAATGATTTTATCACAAAGAGCAGAAGATAAATGCAACTGGCATCTAAATTTTGAAAGAATTGTAAACTCACAGCCTTCTTGTGGATGTTCCTGAACGTTGAAAATGGTGCATGGAACACACTGGACACATTTTGACTTACAGAGGAAACTTTGATTATCATCTAAAATTATGATCAAATAATTACTGTAATTTGAACTTCAATTTCATGCTGTCATGAATTATTAGCAGACATATCAGTGTCCCAGAAATAGGACGGTCTAAGAAATATAACATTTGAATATCATGATAGTATTCCTAGAAACAAAATGGCACAATAACATAGTGGTCTATCAGATTTTTCACAAAACTAGTAAACTCTAAAGTGAACAAAAGCTAACAACATAACTTGATAATTTCTCTAACACTTTAAAAATATCATTGGTACAGAAACTATACATCTAGCAGTAACGTTTTCAAGCATGATAATAATAGGCATTGCCCAGCCTGATTGTGTGGGTGCTGATGTCCCATCAACTAATTGCCTAATCCACAGAGAAGTTTTCCATCACATTCCACTGTTATGTAAACCCTGATGACTGCCAACAAATGGGTTCAAGACAAGATTTTTGCTTGTACATTTTTAATCAATGCATATTTTATGATTTAAAAGATATGGAGTGGGTAGAAGATGCAGTCCAGTTATGTAGGAATAGAATAGGCATTCTTGTTATAGAAACATAATAACATACAGAAACAGAGATAATCACTAATAAATGAGGAATTACAAAGGTTGCATCCGACAATTTTTGAACAATTTTGTAAGCAAAATAAATCATATTCAGATGGTTACTTGTATATGCAAGATGAGTGATCAAAAATCCCAATTTGTTTTATACCAGAAGCACCAACCGTCACTTCCCTTGTACAGGACTGTGTAAACAGGCACCACGGAGCAGGGGGGCTGGGGGTGCTTTAGCCCTCCCCACATTTTGCAAAAAAATGCCCAATATTTAGTACTAAACTACCAGTAAAGACTCTTTTTATAAGGTTTTAGCCCCTCCACTTTTTTTAGACCCCCACTTTTCTCAACGCTCCGCGGTGCCTGGTAAAGTATTTTGTGCCTGTGAACATATTTTTCTAATCTGAATATGTGACATATATATAACGTCTCCCAAAATCATGATATAAAATGTCTGGTACTTCCGTGTTAACTGCCAATGAAGTAACTTTGCTTATATAGGCTATTTTCCAAAAATTGCTACTCATGCATCAATGATGCCATTACCATGACATTTCTGTATGTCACCAGGACATCACATACAACAGGACATTCCCCTCTATCATTGTACAATGTTTATCATTCTTGGTTCTGCTTCTAGGCCTCTAGATTTTGCAAGCAAGCATTATTGTCTAAACTTACAGTAGAAAGAAGCTCAGCTGTGAAATCATTATGGTCAACTTCTATGTGCATGTCTGAATAATTTCTGGCTCCATTTGATAAAATATTTCCATAAATAGGCTTTTTACCTGAAGTAAAAAAGAATTTAGAAGAGTTCTATATAATGAGTTCTATAAGAGTTTTATACAAACGTTTTACAAATTGAGACTATAAATTCTTATTTTTTTATTTCATGTTGGTACTCTAAGGTTGGGGATAGACGGAAGAGACCTTTAGATAAATGAAAAATTGTATTAAATTGTTGGGGGGGGGGGGGGGGG